CACACACACACACACACACACACACACACAGCATGATTCTCAGGCTGCCAGGTCTGGGGCTCGAACTGTGCACTGGGCCATGTGGGATCTAGTTACCTTAACCTCCATGCCCCCTGCTGGCTCTAGGATTTGTTTTCCGGTTCTCCTTGCTTATGCTTTAGAGCCAGAACCTTCCCGGGATGGGATGTAAGTGAGAAGGCAGGCTGCCACTCGCTCCTGCAGGGAGCACTTACTGAGCCCCTGCTGTGCACTGGCGTGTCTGTAAGAGGCAGCTCCTCCCTGGGAGGCTGGGTGGAGCACCCGCCGCTTTCAGTTTGGAGTTCAGGGTTGGTTCTGGGACATGTTGGTGAAGGTCCTTACATTGGAAGAGCAGAAACTGAAGGGACAGCTAGCTGGTAGAACCTGTGGAAGCTTGTGGAATCCGAGGACATGTGTTTGGGGCAGATGCTGTGGCCACCTCCCTGGACTGTCCCTGAACTGCCCACCCAGCCTCCTCTAGTGCCCATGCTTAGTGTTCTTAGGAGAGGGGGGTCTGACTGGCTGGGCGGTGCCAGCATCTGCCCACTGGATCGGGGCAGTGGCTGCTTCCTGGTGGCCGGGGGCCGTTCCTGCAGAGGGAGGTGTTACCATGTCTGAGAAGGTCGTGTGGCTGTTGTCCGCTCTGTCCCCCCAGCCTGCTCTGGCGTCTTACTGTTGCAATCATGTAGGTGAGCCGGGAGGAGAGTTTACTCAGAGTCGCACATTCCAAGGGAGTGGCGGGGTGGTGGGACCTGAGGGACTGCAGCCTCCCCAGGCCTCCATCCCCACCTGCACCTCTCTGCACACGTTCACCCTCCTCACTGGGATGTGGCTCTGAACAGCGCAGGGCGGATATTAGCTCTGTCTCCCCGACCCAGACTCGGACTTTCCAGTCTCAAGTGCAAAGCCCCAGGGGAGGATTCTGATTGGTCAGGTGACCTGTGTTTGGAGCGATGAGTGTGACCTAGGGTACTGTGAGAAGATGGGAGTGCCAGTTCGAAGTCCAGAATTGGAAGGAGCATGAACCGAGGTCACTTTTACACAGGGGGACGAGTAGATGGCCAAACAAGGGGGGACTGGGCAGGCCAGCCCCCGAAGGAAAACAAGACTGCGTGTGCACTTGCCACGCAACCGTGAGCAAGCTGTGTCCCCTCTCGTGGCTCCTCATCTGTAGTTTGAATGGCTAGACTGAGGAGGTTCGGGTCCTACCAGCTGTCAGACGTACGACCTCAGCAGCTGGACGCAGGAGGAAGGGTGTTGAGGGGAGGTCTGTGTGCAGAGACGCTGGGTGCACCGGGCAGCAGGTGCTCCCAGCCGACTAGAGTGTGGGCGACACGGGGAGCGGGTGCAGGGCAGGCTGGAAGGGGCAGAGGGCATAGCGGGGTGTGCAGATGCCAGCAGTTCAGCCCCAAACCCTCTCCTTCCTCTGTCTATGTGTCTTGCAGCAACTGCTCGAAAGTCCCCAGGACCCCAGCAGCAAGAGGCTGTGACCCTGCCCCCGAATCTTCACCTGCAAATCCTGAGCATCCCCGGCTGGAACTACAGCTCAGAGCACACCGAGCACATGCAGAATCTTAAGAAAGGTGAGACCGCGTGGGGAATGTCCTGGGGGTCCAGGCTTTCTGCCCCTCCCCGAGTCAGCCAGGCCCCAAGCCTATCACCAGACAAAGGGGCTCTATCGCCATGGCTCTGGAAGGGCACCCAGGCCCCTTATCTGGCAGATGGGTAGACTGAGGCCCTGGGAGAGGTGCAGAGTGACCAGAGTCCCTCAGTGAGCTGGGGCAAGATGGGCCTGGGCCCCGCCCTGAGAGCCCAGCTCAGGGCCAGCCCAGGCCCATTCTCAGTCAGTCACCCCCACAGCCTATCCCCAGCTCGAGACCATTACCCACATTCTGCCTGCCCCCCATCCTGTACTCCGGTCCTGCTCCCTCAGAGATCCCTGGAGCCCCCAGCTGCCTGAGCGCTCGCTCGTGCTCTGAGCTCCCGTTCATTCGGCAAGTGTCCTTGTGCCAGGTACTGGGGAGCGAGTAGTGCAAAGGTAGGCAGGGTCATGGGTCTCTGCCCTCTCCGTCTAGATGGGACAACAGCCAGGCTAGCAGGCAGTAATGACAGCGATACGAGGGAAGCCTCTCGCAAGGCCTCAGGGAAGGCTTCCCCGAGGAAGCAACTTCTGCCAGGAGCTGACTTGTTCTGTTGCCTAAGCTCCAGCTCCTCCTCATGTGCCCTCTGCAGTGTGCCTAGGCCATCCTCATGTCCCCAGGGCTCAGTACATCCAAAAGGCAGTTGAGAAAGAGTCTCCAGAATGAAGAAAAAGTAGGAAAAGGAAAAGGCATTAACCTCCAAGTTCTGAGCCAGTACAGAAGCAGGACACAAGGGGATCAGCCAGAAGAGGCCAAAGAACACCCTTGTCCCTAACGCTGATCTTGGAGACTCCCACTCATTCTCACAGCAAGGAGACTTCTCCACCTGCCCCAGAAGAAGCGGGGCAGGGTAGGCCTTTGGTGGAGCCCGATCTAGTGTGCATGGCCCTGCCCCATCGAGAACATGCTTCCTTTAGACGGCTTGTTTCCAAATAGGAAGGGGAGAGAAACAGTGGGCTGTTGGCCTCCCAGACCTGCTGGTGAGAAGGCACATCCTCCCCAGAGCACTCAGGGCGTGCCAGGAGCCTGCCCCACCAGAGCTAGCAAGCAGCTTATGAAGTAGAATCCTTCCTCGTCCCACTGCTTGGCCAGGAGATGGGGGCCTTCCCTGACTCTGAACCACAGATCTTTAACCACTGCCCCACTGCACAAGGAGTATGAGACGTGATTTGACAAGCCTCCTAGCATTCCAGGTCTTGGCTAGCCATCCCTTCTTATTTTTTTTTTCCTTCCAAAGGGCATGTGTGTGGGCAGAAACAGAGAGAGAATATGAAAGCACCCTCGTGGGGCGTGGTCACACGGCAATCCCTTTTCCTCCATTTTTCCATTCTGGCAGGATTTTAGGCACACCCACATGCCCAGCATGTTTTTCAAAGCACTGATGCCAAGATTTGAGCTGCGTGGTCAGCAATGTGGGATTCGGCTTCCTTAGCCACTAGGCCATGGCACTGGCCCTTGGCCAGCCATTCCTGAAAACAGCAACCTCAGAGCCCCATGGTGATTCTTGATTCAGTCAGCTGTAGGGGGAGCTGAAGGGCTAGGGGTCTGCAAGCCGGGTTGAAGAAACCCTGCTGAGGGACCAGCAGCTGGCGTGATGGCTATGTTGCTGAAGTCGACCGCAGTTCAAATCCCAAACCTGGCAGCTTAAACTCACGCTGGGCGCGTGTGCATGCATGCCCAGGATCCTAAAAGGGGAATGGAGAAAGGATTGTGGCATGGCCATTCCCCCTGGGGGGTGATTTCTCGCTTTCTGTCTCTCTGTCTCTCTCTATCTTTCTGGTGAGTGCATGTGCCCTATAGCAAAACCCTCTCCAAAAAAGAAAGAAAAAGAAACACTGATGACAACCAGACACCCATTCCAGGACCATGAGCTCAGTGCTTTCCTCCGAGCCTTGATCTCATCTCTAAAATTGGAGCTGGGGCCAGCTCTATGGACTAATGGTTAAGGGAGCCAGATGCCACGTGGCTGATCTCGTGGTTTGAATCCTGGCTTGAAAAACATGCTGGGCACATGTCTGTACATGCCCCAAATCCTGCCAGGATGGAGAAATGGAGGAAAAGAGATTGCAGTGTGACCACGACTCCCTGGGGATGCGCTCTCTCTCTCTCTCTCTCTCTCTCTCTCTCT